CTAATTATAAAAATTTTAAATTTAAAAAAATGGTTAAAATCAAATAGATCTATAACCATATGAAAATCTTGAAAACGGACGGTATAGATAATATGTTGTAAAATGCACTATTTTTGAGACTTAAAATCTTTTTATTTTTCATGATCATACATCTCGATGTCGAGATGATCAATTAAAAGGTCTTGCAACATTAAAATTATCTTTTCCGATGGATTTTTGAAGTGCATTCGTAGCAATAGAGGTAAGGTTGCAACCTTATATAAACTTTTTTCTTTTTATAATTACCCTAAAAATTCAAAAAATGCATAAGGGTTTTTGTCCTCTCTGAGTTTTTTAGTATGGACACTTTCTTTTAATGTCCACCTTTGAGACATGTCTTACGCACAAGAGGACGCACGTTTTTCAGTGAGCAGGCAGACTCACCAAAACCAAAACCGGGTCCATTGCTTAAAGGTCGCAGAATTGAGGAAATCCATGCACGGAATCTTTTCACATTCTCCCTTACCTTTTTGAATATCGTCCTTCACCATATTTCCCATGAAATAATTCATGGGGGGAGTGAAAACTCTCTTTGATTAACAAGTGGTCCAAGTATTATACCATTAGCTCTCACAAAACATTGTAATGAGTGTCTTCTATGCATCTTCGCCACCCTTTTGCTTCCATCACCAGTGGCGAGCAAGCATGTGTAAGATCTATCGATCGCATGAGATAAAGCACAAGAATACGCAACATACACTTAGATCTTAAACATCACTGCAATACAGAAAGGAAGGACCTTGGAGGATAAGGGTGTCTGCTACAAAATAGAAACTCATCCTTTCTTTCAAAATTTAGGGGAGGTCATCCCATCAAATAGGGATAGACTGCATCCTCAAATTACACGATCAGGAAACAACAAATTAATCATAATTGTGACATCATTGGAAATGTCTTTGGGCATAACAGCCCCTACATGAGGCCTCTAAGTACAGGTTGGGCGGGTTAGGATGTGGGCAGAAATGACATACAACTATCAATACTTTCAGCATTAGAATTGCGATGGTTGTTAATTCATTCTGTCATTTGAAATCAAAAATTGAAGCCATAGCCGCCTGGAAAGCCTCCTTCAAAGTGAAAAGTAAATTGTTGACCACCGCCACCAAAAGGATTAAAACCGGCACCACCCATTCCCATGCCAGCATCTTCTATATCCTCACCTCGGTCATATCTCACACGCTTGTCTTCGTCTCCCAGGATCTGCGAAATACATCAAATGCCAGTCACCATGTATTCAGAATCCCTCAATGAAAAATAAGAAATGTCAGCAAGCCAATTATGAAGCTGAGGGAAGACATGGAAATCGAAGCTATAGATGATGAAGAAAAACACATAATTAGATCGATGACGACCTAAGTTTCGATACCAAAACACAAACAATGAAGAATGAACAACTAGCAAATACATGAACAGGGAGGAGAAAGAAACGCATGAGCAACCTCCCTGGCTTAATTGAATGATTAAGATCATAACAAACATCCATCAATACAGTACAACTAGGTCCTTGCCAAGAATAAGTTAAGAAAGAAGGTATCAACAGTCAGTCATGTTTGTAGGAAGGTTTTGCATGCATTAATTGTGAGTTCCTGTATGTTCAATGATGTTGAGATGGTGCAGATCAATTTTTTAAAGAACAGATTAGCTACATTTCAAGTGAAAATGATGATCTACCATGACAAGTCAAGCAAATTAAACAGGGAATGCAGAACTTCAAAAGTGCAAACATGTGTCTTAGAGTTCCAAGAATATCATCAAAACTCAGTACTACAGGGCTGTTAGATGGAGCAGACATCCAGATGCGAGCCATAAGAAGTGGAACTGATGAATGACAATGATGATATGGCCGCATTCATTCATGTCCTAACATCGGGACATCAAATGCAAACACCCTGTTCTAATCTTAAATCTTAATAGAAGTAAGAATTCACACTGCTTAAGGTCACACCTCATATGCCTCTGCTATTTCTCTAAATTTAGTCTCTGCCTCTTCTCTATTGTCTACATTTTTATCTGGATGCCACTGCAAAGCAAGTTTCTTATAGGCACGCTTTATCTCTGCAATGGAAGCAGTCCTTGATATACCTAGTATCTTGTACCAGTCCTTTCGCTTGCTCAGCTTTAGTGACTTTTCTGCCCTCATCAATGCTTCTCGAATGCTCATATCCTGAAAAATTGCAAAATGATAGCTCAATACAACCAATTTGATAAGTTTCGGAACTTGGTTTACTGATGAGAGGATTTTACAATGGGAATGAACAAGAATCATGCTATAAAATGTAGTCAATGAAATAAATTAATTGAAAATTTTTCATTTGAGAAGAAAAAGCCTGAGTTATTACATTCGTTTGTTTTGTAATTTTCACAAGTTCAACAACATTAAAGATTTAACACTGCAGAAGCAAACTGCAAGTTCAGAGATTGGTAGTCATTAAGTATCCATTTCAAAAAAATGAAATAGATAAAACAAAACAGCAGGGAGGATGACTCAGTTTAAGAGTTGATGTGGCAAAAAATGTTCACAAGAATCCCTAGCCACTAAAGGAGAGAAATTTATCCGAACTAATTACAGGACGTTGGCGTCGTCAACAAAAGCAACCTATTCGTTGGTGCATGTCTGGTCTATTTACCTTAAGACTGGTGGTAGATGTTTTCTCTCAGGTGACAACGGCAGGCAATCTCAATGCTCCAGATAGGAAAGAGGAATTCTAGATAGGGTTGGAATATACGAACCTTCTTACATATGATGGGACTACATTGTCATTTAGATTATCATATAGAAAATGTGCAACCAGAATTGTAACCCATATGGCCTGGTTATCAGATTTGATCAACAGTATGGGTTGATGAAAGTAACCAAGGAGTCTCACAATCACATGGTCCAGCAACCAATAAACAGTCAAGATCAGGTTGAAGAAACTGCTCATATGGAGGATGAGGCATATATATTCGCTAGAGCAACCAATAAACAGTCAAGATCAGGTTGAAGAAACTGCTCATATGGAGGATGAGGCATATATATTCGCTAGAGCAACCAAATATGGAATCCAAAATATGGTCCAGATCATTGCCCAGTAATAAATATAACCTCGATCATTTTCTGATAAAAAATAGAAGAATTGATCATCCTGAGTTCATAAGCAACTTGCTTTGTTTTTCTTTCCCCTATATTTTTAAATAGATAACACTGCATAAAAGGAACAACAAAAACAATAATGGATAACATTGAACTAAAAAAAGGATATACATCAAAGGGAAGGTATAGGTAAAACTATCAGACAGGATATAGACAAACAGAAACACAATTCCCAAGGGGGAGAAGAAAGGGAGAGGAAGACGGGGAGAGAGGGTGGATGACAGATTGTAAAGTCAGTGAATGTGGTGATGTCCTTCAAAGTAAAGGCAACAATCCCAGATCCCTCGTTGTCTAATCTATCTGCCACATCATTTGCCTGCTACAAATATAACATTATTCACAACTGATCGAGTTGCTCCTAAAGAACATGTTTCTTGGTGGAATAGTGCAAACATCAAAGGTTTGGCAGGCATCTCTATGAAGAGATGACTCCAACATGTCCAGTTTGGTATCGAAGTGTGGAATATGGACACTTTTGGTCCATTGAACAAGAAGGAAGCTAAGGAGATTGTAAGCTTCATAGGAAGAATATTCTATCTCCAACATAGACAAGAGGGCAAGAAGTGAGCTAATAAAACTTCAATGTCATAATATTCTTCAAGAGGAATCCCTAATTTAATGGCTCAAAAAGTGTGATAAGAAAAGGTTCTTTTATAGGATTGCTAATGCTAGAAGGTAGGGTGATCTCATTTGAAGCATCAGAGTTCTGAATTACTCATTTGACAAAAAAGAGGAAATTATTAACGACATCAATCGGATGTTCCGTGCCCCAGAATAACTCCCGTAACATAATTAGTGATGAACTTTTTGTTTCGTAGTTCAGTGGGGAAGGGATCCCCTATCCGTGGTAGAAAGAGAACTCAAGACGTCAAGTTGTGGTGCCACATCAACCTAACCACCTAGCATGTAGCCCCTTCCCAATTAGAGATGACTTTTAAGTATAATTAGTGATACTTTTCGATAGAATTACATTAGGACTTTACTTTGTCCTTTTTTATGTTATTTAAGTGATCCCCTATAGTTAATAGGTTTTTTTATATATATATTTTTAATAGCATTTAGGTTTGGTATCTTTGTCTTCAGGGGTCTTTATTTTTAGTTGTTTCAAGCGTCAAGTAAAAGTAGACTACAACAAGGAAACCACTATATATGCATCATACAAGCCATTGGCTAAATGCAATTAAGAGTTGAAAATACAATTTGGCTTTCGAGCTTGATGGTGCTGACTCCATTTTGGGGTTGTATTTGGAGTTCACTTTGTCCTTTTTTGGATTATTTAAGTGATCTCCTATAGTTAGTAGGTTATTTTTATATATTTTAATAGCATTTAGGTTTGGTATCTTTGTCTTCGGGGGTCTTTGTTTTTAGTTGTTTCAAGAATCAAGTAAAGGTAGACTATGACAGGGAAACCACTATATATGCATCATACAGGCCAGTGGCTAAATGCAATTAAGAATTCAAAATAAACTTTAGCTTTCGAGCTTGATGGTGTTGACTCCATTTTGGGGTTGTTGATGCCTCACTTTTTCAAGATGTTCATGCCATGAGCGCCTAGGCATGAGATACTTAAGTTGCCTTATTTCATGTGTACTTTTCATTCCATCCATGATTTAGGGCCACATCCTTCTTGACATACCACATCCCTTATCCCTTTACCCCATTATCAGCATCTACCAACCTTGCCCTCACCTTTTTCATCATCTTGCAAAAAGTCCAGTCAGACTCATGCAATATTAAGCACTGCTTTAAATCCTCTTGTCCCTTCCTGCACTACACCCAACTCGTCATTACCTAAACCCCAGAACCTCATATCTCCATTCAACTCTCTTCTCAATCCTTACTAGCCTGTTAATCGCCAAATGTATCCATATTGAGCAAAGGCCCCATCTCATACGCTAATTGATATCTACCATAACCTTTCTCATAATCCATACACTTAATCCATATCCCTTACTCTTCAAAACTACCAAATCTTGGGTAAAGGAGTCCCAAAACCTTCCAAATGCTGATATTGCCCTAATCCTATTATCATTAGGAAATCGACAACTTCTATAACCTTTACAGCTCCCTATTCGATTGGGCAACCCAATAAGGAATCCATCCATTTCACCAATATGTCGTTTGTGCCACATTGTTCCACTGCTACAAGGATGAATTTGCCTTTTGGTATCTCATGTGAGATACCATGCTGCAAATTCAAATAAAAAATATTAAAAATAAACTTTGATAATTTAATCAGAAAGAAAAGGAAGCTAACAACCCAAGCTTCAAAGCTCTCTAGTTCAACCAGAACTCCTAAAAATGGAAATATATGAATGAAAAGCCCTATTAGACCCTTTATTTATAATAAAAGACCTTACTTAGAACCCAAGAAATCCTAATTCTAATTGAAATAGAAGTCCTAATGAAAAAGATTTGCAATGATATTTTTACCTCGATAAAATATAAAATTCTATAAGGACATTTAAGTCCTATTCTAAACAACCAATAAAATCTTAAAAAACAAAGGAAACCCTAAAATCCCTCCACCTAAAAAACCCTAGAGTTTAACACTAAAAATCCCAATAACACATACCTAAAATTTAACAGAAAATTTTCAAAAATAAAAGGCATCTTTTCATGCACCGTTCCACAATTGGAAACCTCCCTACGAATGAGATGGTTTGCCTATGACACTAACAGGAGGGTCCTGTGGAAGTTGTCCCTTTAGTGATACTTTGGGTTACATGAAAGACAAGGAACCAGCATATTTTTGAAGGACAATACCTTGAAATTAGTGGTCTAATCAAACAAGTATCTTTGGAGACATCCAATGAAAGTGGTTTCATCAAACAAATCAAGGTGGACCATGTGTCATGGGGAATAATGTCACCTTTGTTTAAGACTTGTTTGAGCCTGGGATGAAGCCTGAGACTATTAGAGAGGTGGCCATACCCACTCATTGGAACTTGGATACTTGACTTTGATAGGAGCTGGTCTGCCGACCAGGGGGAGGGGTGGGGGAGGTGTTCTGGCAGCATTGTGGGGGGGAATGATGGGACAATCATTTATGTCTATTCTGGACCAATGGATTTCTGCAACTCAAAAGAGCATAAGGCTCAATAGCTCCTTGGCTTTAAAACTGAAATAGCACGTCCACAGCCCCTAACAATGTTAAATCAATTACATGGACTAGGGCTGAGAATATTTGCCAATAGAGGCGTAAAAAGATTATGGAGGAGACTATTCATTTGATTACTGACCAACCCATAACCCTTCACTATATTCCACAGAAGCAATCTTCGATTCTGATTCACCAGGAGCGAAGGAGTATCTTGAGAAAAGCTCTCAGGGAGAACTTCCCTCCCTCTTGGCTGCACCATGCTTCTTCACATATCTTTTACATTTGTGCTCTTCACTCTCTCTCTTCCCTCATACTACTTCCCCATGAATATATTGTTTGTCTGCACATCATGAACTTGATATATACCAATCCAATTACAACTCACATCCAAACCAAAAAATGGAAACCCAATCCAACTAGGACCCCTAATCATGTTAGGAAACCTAATCTGAATAGAACTCCTACACCCATCAAAATTCCCTAGGCCCACCTTTTTCAAAGCACATCAAAACTTCAACATAGATCTTGTATGAGAAGCTCAAGAACAAACATTCACTTGACCCTTGGCTCTAATTATTTCGCCCATCCAACAATGCCCTCCTCTGATCAAATGCCCTACAAATAGGTCTCTGTCCAAAGGTGCAATTATCTTTGTTTACAGTCATTCTTCCTTAATACTTCAAAACAATCCCGAGGTGGCTAATATGGTTGTTTAGCAAATGGCCATAGAGCACGATCAAGGAACACCACCAGAAACAGTCTAATATGGCTGGAAGAGCTAATGAATGAGGGTGAAGAATGTGGCAGGACAATGGTTATTCCAAAAGGAACAACCCTTTCGGAATAAACCCTAATACAATGAATAAGCAGCAACAGATAGACAGAGTTCAAGAGGGAGAGAGACAGAGGCACTTGACTGAAAAAGCTTGGACAACTTAACTAATCCACCACCAAGCTCAGGACATGAATTGTCTGCTCTTTTTTTATGGGGTAAATGAATTGTTTGCTCTTCCCCTTTTTGATCTGCTAAACCAACCTCTACAAATTCACATCGACACAAGCATCGATGGTAGAGGGGCCAGAACCACCAGAGGATGCAGTGATTCTTGTCTCTGGAGGTTTCCGCATGCACTAAGGAGATGTTTGGGGGAAAGCCTCATGTCCTTCTCGCTAGGACAGAAAGCTCCACAAGTGGCCTGCCTGGTGCTCCACATGTGTCTCAGAGCAAGAACCTCTGCTGACCTCCCTATTATTTGATTAATAGCAATGCTGTATTGAATACTCTAACCAACAAGAGGAACACTAAATCAAACTGAGAGAAAAATCAATACCACCCAATGCATGAGGTGAGTTCTCAGGAGTTGGCATTTCGTTGAGGAAGCCAGACACTAGAAGCTAGGCATTCCCATCCTCCATTCTGTCTTTCAATAAGAATGCTAGGTCTTTGAAGAGAGATGAGATATTACTAAGAATAGTGTCAAATTCCATTTATCCCTTCATCCTAGCAAAGATCGTAATAATATAAAGCTTCAACTTTTTCATTAAAATGCTTCAATTTATTTATTGGTCATTAAAATGATTCCAATATTTTCTGAAGAAATCCATTTTTTTTTTTTGCAAGTTGGAGGGATTTCATTTTTAAATAACAATAGATTATACAAATACCTATCAATAGATCATCCGAGTCAAAAGCAGTCAGTGATTTTAGTAGTGTGTATAGTGTGTTCCATAACTAGATGTTGCCTTGTTGGGCAAATAGGTTTGGTGTTGTGCCAATTTTAAAGTAACCGTAACAGATATTACTGACATCTGGTCCATTTTACCAGTAGAGTTTATGAAAACAAGTTTTTAAAATTAAAAACAAACCTGACGAGATTTTTGCGCAGCTAAAAACGAACCTGAGGAGATTTTTGCGCAGCTGCTTGCAAGTCGCCAACTGCCCCCTCCCAATCTTCAACTAAAAGTTTGGCTTCACCTCTCTGTATGCAATAAAGATGTAATGTTAAATTGTGAACATACAATGAATCACACCCAAAGAAGGATGGCACTATCGTGAAATTGTTGCTTACTGCTAGAACAAATATTTTTGACGGACTGACAGAAGTTATGATATCCTTGTAAACAAAACAAAAAAAAAAAACCATAGGACATGTTTCTTCTTAAAGAAAGACCTTTTTTGATAAGATAGAGCAACCAGACAGTTGTGTACCACAAAACAGTATAGGACTTGAAACAAACCACAAACCAACTTCTTATACTTGTAAAGATAGACACATATGTATATGTATTTGAAGGTTACCAGTTTATCCAAAATCCATAGACAGCGAGGCTCGTACATTGTTCACAGCCATGCATAATCAAAAAAACACAGACAGCAAAGACAAATGTATGTGCCACGTACATTTACGTTCATATAACTCTAGTATGATTCTGTGCTGATTTAGTTAATGAATGCAAATTGGGAAGAAATCATAATTAAATCAAGGCAAAGTATTTGGTGCCAACTCATGCGTCCACCCTGGTTATCGAGGAATTCAGGACCTGAAACACATCGCAAATCATTTCAAACACATTTCCACCTCAGATTCACGAACTTGGAGCTCCAAAACAGTGAGCTGATGATCTTTGGAGAATTCAAGTGTGACGGTTCAGAAAGGAAGAACATAATAGAGGGATCTAGATGATAGATTTGCAAGACTTTTGGATCCAAATCGATCTTCGAAATCCATTTCCAAGATGCATTTTTGTGAGAGTGGACTCACTGTAAAAGGTGCATCCCCAGACTCACCTGAACTGTACCCTTACATAACCATCTTCACACAAATACCTTTCCTACCTATTGACAAGCCACTTTTTTATTCGAAGTCCACACAGGATGCCCATTATATAGTCGAGTGCTTATATTTGGATAAATGTTTTTCAAAATTTGCAAAATGTTCCACAATAAATAGATGTCATTCTTGTATAAGCCAATAAACACCACCACGCCCCCCTCCCGCCCAAAAAAAATAATAATATCACCAACTAAGCCCAGATTTCTTGGATGCACCACGCCAATAAATTCTCCCATAATTCTTTTCAATGTCAGGAAGACTCATGAAAAGCACCATAAAAGCAGCCAGAGTGAGATCGAGCATGCTACTAAAAAACGGCAGGGTTCAACCTGCCACCACAAGATAGCATTTTTTCACCTTTCAAATTCTAAACACAAGATTCGATATTATCAACTAGACTTTTTCAGTGAACCAATCACGTCCCCATCAATAAATATTGAAGACCCCACACAAGACCATCAAGGTTTCGAAAAACGCTAGGCGGCCTACCTAGCGGCCAGCGCCTAGGCGAGTGCCCAGAACCTCGGGCGCCTTGCGGTGCAAATTTTTAGTATTTTTTAATATATTTTCTATCCAAATGCACATATATGCATATATTAGTGTCAAAATTTGTAATTTGTTCCATTTGAAATTGAAAATATAGCAAGTTCGCAACATACCTTTTTATATACAAACATATCACATGTCTCAGCCTCTCAAGTTGATAATAAACTTATTCAAAATTTTGAACCATACAAAACATTTTAAAGTCTAATAGGCCACTGTAAGGTCTCCAAATACCACCAATAACACCCTAAAAATAATTTCAATTAGAAAAACAAACTTTTTCAATCAACAAGAAGTACTCTTGATTCTTAGCAATTGCTTTAGATTCTCATAAATAAGTTTAAGATTGAGGGTTTCTTGTTTTTTTTCAGTTTGGGGTTGAAAAATAAACCCCTAAACTTATTTTATACAAACTTGGGGGTCAAAATGACCCCCTTTGCCCTTTCGGGCGAAGTTTAAAAAAAACAATTCGTAAACTGTGCTCGACGCCTGCCCAGGTACAGCCGCCTGTGTTGGGGCGCCCAGGTCAATGCATGCAGAAATTTTTTTGGGGCGCCTAGGCGCCGAGCGGTCCGGTTTTTTAGACATTGAAGACCATTAAAAGATATTGGTGAGGAATGATTAGTGGGCTAGAGTAACAGAAAACCCTCACAATCTCATCCTACGTAGTCTTATATCCCAATATAACTTCATATTGACCATTGAATTTGCTGAGTTTTCTTACATTACGAATGTTCTCTTTTCCAATTTATATTGTCATTTTGACAAATTCCTCTGGAAGCTCTAAAGCAACTACTGGTACTGAGAATTTTTTAGGAAGAGAGGCAGCTGTAGGTCAAGCTATTTTATTTTTCTTCAAAACAATATATTTCTGTGGCATTGAAAAGAAAACCTCAGACCGCACAATTATGCATTTTCGGCATATTGACTTTGATGGTGAAGTTACCGTGTTGCATCTTCCACATTATCGCATTAAAGACATATGAACACCTACAACATATCCTTCCAAGTGTCAGATCTCATCGCTAACAGGAAACTATCCTGGGCAAGACTGATCACAGTCGCACTTCATATTATTTGAGATGATCATGTAAAGCACCTAAGACATGCCAATTTGTTAAAACTCTGGAATCTTTTCAGGCAAATTCACCTTAGGAATCCTGGATATAAAAGTGAAGTGCAGTAGAAACCTTCCTAATTTTTTTTTTGGAAAATGACCTCCCACCCTCCCTGAAATTTTCATCCCTATTAGCCCCTTGAGTTCACTGAAAATCCCTTGTACCCCCTCAAGTTTAAAACATTGGGACCATTAGCCCCCCAATTATGTTTTTCTTTGTTCTTTTTACAAATTTGATCTTTTTATTTTACAAAAGGCCAATCCCACCCATTAGTTGAGGGGCTAACGGTCCCAATGTTTTAAACTAGAGGAGGTACATGGGATTTTGGTGACCCAAGGGGCTAATAGGGATGAAAATTTTGGGGAGGGGGCTAGAGGTCATTTTCCCTTCCTTTTTACTGAAACTGTTAACCTTGTATTAAAAGTAAGAATATTAGTACAAAAAATCCACGCCCAGGGAGCAAAAAGCCACTGATAAGAGTGGCGAAACAAAGGCTATACAAGCGAAATTACAAGCATATGTAGAAAGTACAAAACAAGCACAAAACAGTCATAGAAACCAGGAAGTGAAGCCCATATATGAGACACAGCATAGGGCAACTCCATTGAAGCTCCATGCTTAGCTAGTGCGTCGGCCACTTGGTTGGCCTCCCTCTAGGTATGCATCCAAAGCAAAACTCCGGATTTGGGCCACAAGGATAGCCCATTTGCTGAAACAGTTGAGGAACAGATTCCAGTGCAACCCACGACCAACCAAAGAGCTGAAGTACGTCCTCCCAAATGCGACTCGCAAAATTACAGTGTATGAAGAAGTGGGAGTTGGATTCCTCTTCTGAAAAGCATATCATGCATCCGTTGGGGGTTTGTAGCCTCTTCTTTGGAGTTGTCCACTGTTAGGACTCTCTCCCACAAGGCGAACCAATTGAAGACCTGAAGCCTGGGTGGAATGAAAGAAATCCAGGCTTTGGCAGTGGTGGGAAGATGCACGGGTTGGGCGGTTTGGGGGGAGTTAAGCTTGTGAAAGAAAGAGGAGAAAGAGAAGATCCCTGAAGGGGGCGGGGTCCAAATGATTTGATCGTCCCCATGGGGTGAGAGGGTGAAGGAGTGGAGGAGATAGGAAAGTCCCAGAAAGGCTGGAAATTCAACATCCCGCAAGGGGCTGTGAAATCGGGATCCCAAGGTCTAGACTCTAGAGTTTCCGACGACAGCAAGAAGCTCAGCTATGGAGACTTCAGGATTCCTAGCTAGACAGAAAAGCTGTGGAAAGCAGAGAGAAAGGGGGAGATGGACTAACCATAGGTCTATCCAAAACCTAACTTTTGTCCCATCCCTCGGCTGAAAGCAAATGAAAGATCTAAAGATATGAAGTACAGATTTTCAAACCCCCGAGGCCCGTGGGGATGTCTTTCTAGGATGGACAAGGGAAAAGAAAAGAACCAACTTCCTAATTTTAAATTAGTCAATTATTGCAAAACAGGTTTTGCCATAAACAATCATCTCGAGAGCTCGGTGCCTTCAACCTATGGCCATCTAAATGTAAAACCTTTAAAATATCGTGGAGTGCAAATGAAGTATGGGACATAGTAGATACAGCAGGCACAAAGAATGCAGTGATACTTTGTTGAAACCCAATCCATGAATTTGGGAAAGGAAAGGAATTCTTGGGCAGGGCCTCATATCGATAAAATATTGCAAGCAATGAGGATAACAAAGCATATGCAGTATGCGTAGACAGCAAACCTTCCAAGCCAATGCCGTCAAAGACATGAGCAGATGAGTTGCTACAGCAAGGACAACAATGGTACTAGGGACAAAGGCAGAGAGAGCTGAGAGCTCAGAAACCTAGTGTTTGACACTATGACAAGTGCAGACATGCCTCTGAGCCATTCACAGATGGAACGTGTCCCTTTATTCAAAACCAGACTCCATGAAAGCCACCATCACGCAGATCATGTTATGGATTGTAAGGGGCCTGAGAGACCCCAGACGAAGTTGGTAAAATTGCTTTAACGGAAAAAAGGCATGATATTTTGATTCTTTAGGAGAGACTGAAGTGGGGAATTAGTTGATCCAGAATGCATGGAAACTTTAGCACTATGGGCGAGAAAACGAATTGGGTGGCTTAAATGCAAAGACAGCATCTGCAAGGATATGGATAGTATGGGATCCCACAGCCTTATGTATAACTGACCACATTAACAGTGAGTGGTCAGTCATTGTATCTTTTATAAGTCCCAAGCATCAATTTACATAGACCCCTACTGCTGGGTAAGGCCTTAATTGACCAGCCAATAGAGATCCATTCTGGGAGGAGCTAGATAGCGTAAAGCAGAATAAGACCTGCCTTCGTGTTTAGGTGGAGAATCTAATATCCTGAGACGATCCTACAGGAAAAACACAAAAGGTCAAAGAACATCATGGAAGTCTTTGAAGCTCTCATAAGTAGGAATTAATTATTGGAGATTCCATAAGCTGGATCAAA